AATAGTATTTAATTAGTTTATACTATAATAAGCCCCTTATAGGGTATTTTAGTTAAAATAAAACTAAAGTACTATTAAAATAGAAATTTTATTAGACTAATATATAAAAAGATATTAAATCTTATATTAAGGAATATATAATATATTAAGAAATTATAATTCTAAGATATAAACTATATAAAAAATTTAAATTACTATTATTACCCTCCTATCTATTTAATAAATTATTAATAGACTTTATTATAGGTCTACCTCTAGTACTATATAAAATAACTATAGTTAATAGTATACTAGTTATTATTAATTAATTTTTAAAGTAATCTTTATTCTTTCCTATCTTTACTATAATTATAGTATTAGAACTAGCTAAACTATTTTATTAGGAAGTAGAATTATAGTTTAGACTACTAAATAGAATTATTTTAGACTAAGGATCTATCTTTATAAGTAAATTCTAGAGTAAATTATATTACCTTATAAAAATTAAATAATAATTATTAATAATATTTTACCTATAGATTAATAGATAGATAGAATAAATAAATTAAATCCTTAAATAATATCTCTAATATTTTATTAATAAAGAATAAAATAATTAGGTAATTCTCTTAAGATAAACTAAATTTATTATTAATAAAAAAGTTAATATTACTTTAAATAAAAGTCTCTTTAAAATACTATTAGATTATAATCCTAACTTTTATATATATACTAAGGATAGTACTAAGAAAGAAGAAATTCTAGCTATAATAATATAAATATAAAAGCTCTTAGATCTTTAAAAAAGATTAAGAAAATAATAATAAAAAGCTAGTAAGGCTTAAGTAAAGTACTATAATAAATATTATAAAGAAATAACCTTTAAAAAAAGAGATTTAGTAGCTCTATTAATAAAGAACTTAAAGTTAAAAATACTAAGTTAAAAACTAATATCTATATTTATTAGACTATTCTAAATACTTAATACTATAGATATATAAGTATATTAAATTACTTTATTTACCTAATATAATTAAATCTATAATATCTTTTATATATTATATTTAGAACTATAGAGTTATTTAAAGAATAATAAAATACTATTAATACTAGAGCTTAAAGATAATAATAAATAGAAGGTTAAAGAGATTAAAAATAATTAATTTATTAATAATAAACTTTATTATTTAGTAAAGTAGAAAGATTAGCTATTAAAATATAATTAATAAGTATATACTAATAATATAATAAATATCTAAAGAGTTATTTAAAAGTATAAGAGATATAAAATAAAATTATCTATTCTATCTAATATAGCTATATTAGGAAAAGCTAGGTATAGTAAAAGATTATTATTAAAGTATAAGAGTATTATTAATATATAATAATCTTTTTAAATTTCTTTAAGAATAAGAGGAAAAGTATTCTTAATATTTATTAAATAAGAAATTCTATTAGGATTATTATTACTATAATAGTAAGTAATAATATAGTAAACTATATTAAAAAAATAATATTAGGTAGTAATCTAGATTATATAACTATTATTATCTAGAATTAAATATAGTAATTACTAGCTAAAATAGTATTTCTACTCTATTTTATTAGTATTAAGACTAAGAGCCTATAGTGAACTAAGCTTACTCTAATAAGTAGTATAAAAAGTCTAATAAGTAGGTATATTATCCTAGGTTATTATTAGTAATATACTATAATATTAATACTAAGGTAATAAAGAACCTACTATAATAGTTTACTTATTATTAGTTAAACTATAATAATAGTAATAGTATAGCTTAATATAGTTAAATATAGAGATAAAAATAATAATAATATAGAAGAGATTACTCTATATTATATCTATCTAATTCTTATTAGGATTAAAGAATCTAGAGTACTACTCTAGAATTATAATAAGATTATATATATTTCTTAGTATACCCTCTAAAGTCTAGCTAGTTAGTATACTTATAAAATATAAAAAAGAGATATATATAATTAAGTAAGTTATATAATATTTAGAATACTATTTATATAGTACTAACTTAATAGTATTAAAGGTATAAGAAATCTTAAATAGTTCTTTATTATTAATATTAAAATTATTTACTATAATATATAAATACTTTAGGTACTATATAAATAGTAGCTTTATAGATATTATATATATAGTATATACTAGAATATATAGTAGCATAATATTAATAAGTAGTCTTAATAAAATAAYTATAAGAGTAATAAAATCTAATAAAATAAAGATAAAAACCTTAAGAAATAAGGCTAGAATAAAGATATAAGATAAATAAAGTACTAAATATAGGAGGAAGAGGGAGAAGAAAAGAAAATAAAAAACTAAACTATTATATAAAATAAAGAAATAATATACTTTAGTTACTTATAATAATTATATTATTTATATTAATATTATTAACTATATAATAAAGAGTATACTATAATAAAGGCTTTATACTAATATAATAATATTATATTAATAATAATTCTATAATATTACTATACCCTTAATATACTATACTAATAGTTATTACTATTTTAAGAAATCTTAAAGCTATATATAACTATAGATAGTTATTATAGTAAGAAGGGATATAATTTATAATAAATTAAGTATAGCTTCTATATTATTTTCTCTTAATTTATATTATACTTATAGATAGCTATATTAAGTATACTATTTTTAATTATCTATTTTTATGCCTTAAGATGCTTATAAAAGACTACTATAAATATAATATATTAGTAATAAAGATATATATAGACCCTCTTATCTAATAGGTTAGGAAGATAAGGATTAGTCTTATTATTAACTAATCTACTATTCTACCATACTATTCTAACTAAGTACCCTATCCTTTATCATTTCTAAGAGGCTTACCTAGTCAACAGGCTTATCTACCCTGTCTAGTGGATTATCCTTACACTTTCTAACTAGTTACTAACTAGTAGCAGTTATCATTCTTATCTATATATCTAAGATAGTCTAACTAGTTAATAACTAGTTAGGAATATAATTATATTATATACTTAATATCTTTTTAACTAATTCTAAACTTCTAATCTACTAAAAAGGTAAAAAATATTATAAGAGCTCTCTAGCTAGTTCTAGACTAGTTAGTAACTAGTTTAGATTCTTAGTTTTTTAAAACTTTTTTAGTTATCTAAAGAATAATCTAATATTAATTAAGAAACCTTCTTAATTTATCTTAAATTATATAAATTTTAACTATATAAATAAAGATATTTTATATAATTATATATTACTACTAGAGAAGAAGATAAGTATAAATATATATCTTTAAAGTCTTAACTTATTTAGATTAACTAGTTACTAACTAGTTAAGATCCTTATTTCTAGATATATAAGTAAATTTATTATCTTTATAGTATTAACTAATAACTATAGTATTCTAATCTAGAATATAAAAGTAAGACTATAAGGCTAAGAATTATAACTATATATATTATTAACTAGTTCCTAACTAGTTAGAAAGATAATTAAAGATATTAAGTAGAAATAGGTGAGCCGACCTTTAAAGATAGGTAAAAGGTCAAAAAATATTATAGAATATGTAATTTTTATAAAGGTTGGCTGACCCACACTTGTTAGCCGAACTCCTTAGTAAAGGTCGACTGACCTGTAGTCACACTGACCTGTGGTCACTACTGTGTACATAATGTTATTTGCAACTTTTCGACTCTTTCTCAGCGCCACTGCCGCAATCTAATCTATGTAAGGTTCAGCCTGTAAGTCTGGTATTTTATGACCAGTATTTAACCTATGTATACAAAACAAGGTATTGCCACTCGTATTTCGAGTACTATAATTGACACCGGTAATTTCCCGAATAGGTTTTTATCCGTAACTAATGTACAGTCATGTAATATTTGATTTAATACTTTAGTAAGAGAGCGCCTGCTCTAAAAGGTAAAGTCTCAATGATATTCCTGTTCCAAAGGGTTTCAATTGGATTGAGATCAGGAGAGAAAGCAGGCCAAAGAATATGTATGAGACCTCTCTCTGCCATAAAAGCTAGAGTATCTCTAGCTGCGTGACCTCCAGCGTTATCTTGCATCAAATCCAGCCCTCTAGGACTCACGTAATCAGCTATTAGAAGGACAACATAGTAACAATAGCTGGCTGAGTTGATTTTACCCCAATTTTTCTCCCAAAACAAGCCCGGTCCCTTCCCCCATAGCCCTGAAATCCCTCCCCAAAACATCCATCCAATCTTCCGCTGTACCTTGCGTTTTACACAATCTGGATGAAGAGCTTCTCCTCTCCTCCTAGCTACGTTGACTTTTTTATGTCTCCCCGGCTTCACCTAAGTCTCGTCCATCTGTTCAATTCACATGCTCGTGTGCCCATTGGAGCCGGATTGTTGCATGCATTTGTGTTAGTTTTGGTTCCTTGAGAGCAGTGTATCGTCCAAAACCTTCTTTTTTAAACATAGGTTCAATAGCGTATACTTTACAATCCCAGCCAAAGATCTTAATAATTTGGGACCATGGAGTCCTCCTGTTTTTCTGGCTCGCGCATACCCAGTGGATTAATTGTTTCCTCTCTGCTGGACCGAGGAAAAGACGACGTCCAGAGGGTTGCTTTTGAGGAGTTACCTGGTGGGGAAGAGCATATTTGACTTGATCAATAGTTAAATTGAGTTGCAAACAGATCTCTTCTTTGGTAAATCCATCATGAAAAAATAGTGTATGAACACGCAACCGATCGTCACGTGTGCAGAATCTGGTTGGTGTTTTGGGGGTAGGAATGCAACATTCTGATGATTGAGACATGATCATAGTAGTGCTTTCCAATACAATATTCAGTGGTGAGTGACTTAAAGCAGCATCAGAGGGTCACTAAATAACTGGTGGAGGACCCCTGTCAGCATCGAACCTGCTAGAACCACCCTACCAGGGGGTGGGTTTATTTATCCTTTGACCACAGTACACATGGTACCTGTATGTGACAGCGAAGCGTTTAGTTAAGATTTGTCCTAATTTATTCATACTAGGGTTACATAACCCGTTTTACATGGCTGAAGGTTTGTGTAGCTCTCTAAACTGGAGCCCGCCAAGTCCTCCTCAGAAATGATACTGCGATCGAGATTTGCATACGTCAACTGTTCCGCATCTGTTACCCCCTTCATCAAGACCCCTGGATGGATCGTAACGGACAAGGTCTTATTTTTGTTTCTGAGGCCGAAACTCACGTCCTTCTCCAATCCGAATCCCAATTTGGCCGCTAGCTCCAAGTCGACATGGAATGGCTTTGAACTCGGGTTCAATACCACCATGATAAACTTCATATATCTCGGGATCCCCTTCTTCAGAGTACGGTTTTCTTCGATATCCCACTCAACGATTGTGTGCTTCCAGCCGCTTGCTACCTTGCTAGTACCAGTCACGTGTACGTAGTGACTGTCTATATATGATTCCGATTTTGAGCTTCCAGCTTGTAGGCCGACCGCGTCAGCTGCGTATGGGGCATTTAAGTTGAGAGACCATGAAGCTTCCTTCGAGACGGCCACCTCTGTCTTAGGGCCGTCATATTCTCTCGGGCAGAACATGACGAGCTCAGGTGCCTGTACCGGGTCTGACCCTTGCAATTCCAGCGTAATTGTTGCTTCTTTGAACCGAGCAACCTTTGCCCAGCTCTTCCGAGACCCCTTGTAGAAGTCAACGACAAAAGTCATCAGGCAAGCAGGAGCACCGCGGAACTTAGCGAACGTAATTGGGCGCGCGAAGGCTGCAATAACGCGAGTGTGAGAGATCATTTGTCCGTACGCCTCTCCAATTCCTGGGCACAGTGTTGATGGATCAGCAGTGACATCGTCGTCATCCGCTAGCTCTGCAAGTGCATCTTCGTTGATTTCAAGATCGCAGTCCAATACAGTGTCCGTAATGAAGTCGATACTTTCAAATTCAGCGTCTGAATTCTCGGTCGATGGTTCGTAGGAGTTGATTGAGAGGTTTGCGCTGTCCATCGTTGATAAACTGTAGTTCAACAGAGAGGAATGCGTGCAGTGAAAGGGATCGGTTCAGCTGGACAGACACTCATACTTGTATGTTCCACAACGAGATAGAAAAATCACTAGTTTTCAGCTGGACAATGTGGCTGGGTCTTGGCTTGCCCCCATTGGCGCTTATTCGTGCCACGTTGCCGGGCTTGTGCATGTGTGACAGACCGCCATCAGCTCTCTTCCCTAGCCCACACGACTACAGACTTGGAAGGAGGAGTCATAAGCACCTCAAGGCCCATGAGTCGTAGGTGGAAAGAAATCCACGTTGAATCTCCATATATTTTCACATATACTCTCCCTTCTGTGTAGCACCCTCTAAACAGCACTTTGAACGACACACCAGTCCCACAAACATCTCCTATACGAGATACCAAAAGCTTCAGTATGCCATACATTGGGAGCCTCGCATCGCTCTACGGATCACTTCCCGATTCGGTAATTCCTATTCTGGAAAACGCCATTCTCCTAACACGAATGGGCCTTCATGCGCGTGCAGAAGATATATTTGAGCAAAAGTTGTGTGATTATCACAGTTTGCCTGTTGTAGCAATCCATTATGCAGAGATATTCCTTCCACAGTTTCGATTTAGGAACGCATACGAGATCCTAGAATCAGCGATACAAGCCCACGGAGATTATGAGGCGCCGGAGACGAGACTCATGAGAATATTTGCAGCTACGTGCAAGATCAAGACTAAAGCAGTTTGGAAACCTGCTATCGATGAAATCAATACCCTTGATGACTGGCTTCGCCCCGTTGCTTTGGAAGACTATACGGACATTCAAGTATAAATTCCCTCTCTTGGTATCTTTAACTTCATGATGTCGCTGTAACTAAACTCTTATGACAGGTCGAATGTATTAGAAAATATGCTTTGGCTTGCCTTTTCCTCTCCGTCAACACGAATAAAGTCACCCCTGAAATAAAAAGTTTGCCAACATCGTCCACCGTATCCTCCACATCAACATCAGGAACTACAGTTCCCTGGGCGGGCCTGACCGAGCTCCGAACGTGCCTCACAATGCAGAATCGCATCAATGAGGCAATTAAACTCAGTACAGTGGAACGTGTAGCCCTCTCTTTGCAAGGGCGTTACCAGTTGGTAACTGATCTCATCAACGTAATCTCTGCCAAGCTCGTCGCCGCGGAGGGACAAGATGATGGCATTCTCTGGCGCGTGCTTCTTTTAGAGCTCAAACTCGAAATGGTGAGACTCTGGATGTCTGTCGAGAATGATGCTCTAGCCGAATCTTGGTCCCAGACACTGATTTCTGAATGGGAAACCCTATCGTCGCTTCTTCAGGAACATGGTCAGAAAAAATACTTGTGGGCAGAGACTGCATGGAGCTATACCATCGAGTTCTACCGTCTCAAATTGAAAACCGTTACTGCCGGTGGATCTCAAGAATTGTTCAGCCAAGCGTTAGAACTCGCGGAACGAATGGCAATCTCCATGCATGGGTCGACCCCTCCGTGCTTTGATTTGGCCATGTCCATTGCAGATAAAGTCTATGCCAGTCAGCCATCCGTACTCAAAATACAGAAATCGCATATATATCATCGCAGTCAACAATACTTGGAAGCGAGTGATCGGATAGATGACGCTGCTATTAATATGTTGGAAGTTCTATATTCATCTGTTCGCAATTTGAACACTATGACACAGTCTCTCAGACTTTTGGAATCCTTTTTAGAAAGATATCCAACGTTACATGAGGGCTATGAAGATGGCCTTCCAAGAATAAGACATTCATTACTTCGCTTCAAATACCAAGTCTATTGTGAAATCAAGAGACCGGACTTGCAGGATTACTTGAATGATGTTATGGAGAAGTTAGAGACACTTAAGTTAGGATTTTCTTCTCAACCAGGAGATTTGCGGCGAGAGCTCCAAGTTAGGCCGAGCGACATGGATTCCATTGACCAAAGTCTCATAAACGAGGAACGCAATGCCAACGAGGGTCTGGCTGTTCAGGATTGGTTCATGTGGTCAGAGAGGAAGTCTGCTGGAAGAGTTGTCAAGGACATCGTCTCCAGAGGAGATTTTGACTCACGACAGTTATCACTGCTCTTTGGCACTCAGGAAGTTGAAAATAAATCAGACGAGGAACTGCTCACCGATTTGGTTGGTAACATCGAGAAACCATTACCAGGTTCTATATGGAGAAGGCGGTCTCAAGTACTGCGACGGTATTTACTAGAAGACTGTGGACATAATGTCACACTTATCTGCCTGTGGATGGCGTTACATAACCAGAGATATCAAGCTTGGAAAGTACATTTCCAAGCATACATCCAGGCTCATGTCAAGTCGTTCAAAGAAGCATCCAACCGATCTTCGAATGAACTTGACGACGAGGAAAAGTCTTTCCAAGATATCCAGGAATTCAAGGAAGCACTGGAAGACAGACTCGATCTTCAGGAAGCACAAGACACCCTGGCTTATGAGCATTATAGTCGACAATCCCACATACTGAGATCTATGCTTCCACAGATTCTGTTAGCTATGTTCTTGAGCTCTACCAAATGTCGGGGGCTGAATGAACGCATTGGTTTCCTGGACCTTGCAGAAGATGTTTCGCGGACGCAAGAGGCTCGTTGGCGTGCCATGGAAGACTATTCACTTTGGGCTACCGAAATTCATATGATGACCACAATTTCAGGGATAAGGATTGAACTTGGAAACCTGCACGGGCAGGACTTGTTTCAGGTCGTGGATAAATCTGTTAGTATGCTAGAAGAGACCGAGTCTATCTTCGGTATTACCATATCTAATATCGGGACTGGACACGCACTTTTTACACATGAACTGAAGTCGGCAATCGGGCAACAGGGTCTTGTGTGGAACATTGGCTCTACAGCAATTCGCATCTTGCATTGTGCTATAACGGCCATAAATTCAAATGCCAAGAAACGGACAGAAGGCCTGGCAGGATTTGAAAAAGAGCAGCATGAGCATTATGTTCGTAGGCTTTGGTATTGGGTTCAGCGGACAAAGGCACGGACTCTTGCTCAACACATGAGACTTGATTCAGTTCCACCGGACAGCATGCTGCACGATATGCAGGATGAGTTACTTCATGGGAATCGTCGTGAGCAAGTGAAACTGACGAACGCAATCCAAGATACGAAACCAGAAGCTCGATCCGATATGGTGGAGAAATTAGAGCATTTGCGATGTGATTCGGAAGCACTTGCAGGATTTCAACACCTTGGCTACATACGTGAATGCCTCAAAACCATCGAGAGTCCTTTGGGAGAAAGTGGAAGTACTGTACATGAAGCATTTGCTGAACTAAACCTCGATGACCCTGTGCGGAAGCAAAAACCATGGGTTGCGATCCAGGCCAGGTTACAAAGGATGCTTCACGAAATAGACAACCCGGAAGGCAAACTCAAGCCTAAGGAGGATGAAAAGGCAGATTTGAAGACGCTACTGAAGTCGATGCGAGCGAAATCCATTAGCAACAAAGGCATCCTCAGGATTCTAGAAATCTGCATGGCAATCAATAACGAAGAGAGGCTGCTTCAAGACCTGAACACAGCTTCAGATACAAGTATTTTCGACTTGAATTTTCAACTTCGACACTTGAAAGAAGAGATGAGGCAAGATACGCTGCTTAAGAAGTATCTGGATATTCGAGAAGGCAACCCTCTTTCCGAGGATGACTTGCAAACGCTATGTGGGAGTGGTAATAGCAAGGTGGTTTTTATAGATTGGTTCCGTGTCACTCATTTACTTGAAAGAGATATGCAAGTTCACATGCTGACAGTACGAAATGGAGTTTACCGTTTGGTAGACCTTCAAATCGACGCGAGGAATGTGGCGGAGGCTGTGCAAGGGTTTCTTACAGGCATGAGAGCTGACACAAAACAAAGTCGCAGACAAAACCTCAACTTATGTCAGTCACTGATACTTCCACTTTTCCAACAGGAAATCGTGGAGCAGGGCGACACACTGGTTATCAGCCAGACTGAAGGCCTGTACCACTTTCCGTTCCACGCAGTTGATTACCATGACGAAACTACCGACAAGAGCTATGATGGGACTCCGATCATAGCACATCATCCCGTTGTCTATTGTCCATCCCTCTCCGCGCTCCACAACTCATTTCGAACCCGAATAAACGCATCTAACACCGCGCCGCGGATTGCACTGTCTATAGGTGGAGTAGAAGATCAGAAACATCCCTATGGAAGTGGGTCCGTCACCGAGATCGGAACCAAATCATTGCAATGTCCAGACACCGTATTCGCCGGCCCAGAAGCTACTCTCGTCAACTTCCGCTTGCATGTAGGTCAAGCAGAGATCGTGCACGTCCACCTGCACTCCACCTTCAAAGGTGGTCCGAATGACGAGTTCACTATCAAGCCCCTGAACCAAGCATTGAAATTCAACGATAGAAATGAAGATGGCTCTGCCGCTCTCCTGACTGCTCGAGAAATTTTCGATATCAACACTATGAGAGGAGCTCATATTAGCTTGGTCGCATGTGCAAGTGGACGCTTTGATGCTGGGACCAACAGGGAAGACTATGCCGTTACAACAGACGAGGTGACGGGACTCGTGCCGGCGTGGATGGTGGCTGGTGCTGGGTCAGTCGTCAGTGCGACTTGGAAAATCATGGACGAGTATGCGGCGGAGTTCGGGAAGAGATTCTTTTCAGGATTGAGGAAGTTGGCTGAGGAGCAGCACCAGAAGAGTCTTGGAACTACAGGTAATGGTTCTACGGGTGATGAAGATGCACGCATAGAGACTTCTGGCGCACTGGATAATTGGATTGATTTAGCTGGGTTGCAGCAAAGTGTTGTGATGGCTCTTCGTGAGAAATATGGTGCTGAAAAGGGGCTGTATTCGTGGGCGGGGTTTGTGCTTAGTGGATATTGGAAGATGAGGCCATGGCCTGTGACTAGGACTTAAGTTTCAATATGTAAATCTATGTTTACTATTGTATAGTGGAAGGAGCTATCTACTGAGCAAGATCACGTGATCGGATCTCCGCCATACTGAGTATGGCCACACTTGACAACCTCCATGGTTAAAATGACTTTAACCACCTGTTATCCAGAGTAGATATCAAAACAATATTATGACATGGGCTGGTCTAATGATAAGTGCAACATATTCACATAGAGAGATTAATTGTCTATAAGATACTAGAGAGGCGCAAGATGTGGTCATTTATGTAAGCGCCAGAGCCGGGGGAATACGTTATTGGGTGATTTGAATCAGTCCGTATGATGTACATATCAGTCGGACAGACAGATCCTCCGTTATCGATGACGGGCTAAATGTTAATTCCCGTGGCTGTGGACCAACCACTTGTTGCTCCGAGTCTGTAGTTCATCAGCTGTAGACCGGACAGGACTGAGGTCATGAGTCTCATGACTATATTAATCACAGTCTCCCTCTTACGAGGTTTTCTGGCTCTACACATCCTCATACAAACACGTTGCATCTCAAAATGAACTCCCAGAGAACCGCATATTTCGGCGCCACAGGCGGATGCACAAATGCATGTCTGGCATTCTCTCTGCGGCAAGGCCTCAAAGCAGTCGCACTGGCGCGGACACCCAAGAAATTGTACGACATGCTGCTGGCGCAAGGAATCAGCGAGGAAACCATCAGCGCAAACCTGATCATCATCCAAGGCGATGTCACGGATGTCGCAGTCGTCAAGAAGACCTTGATGTCCGGGGACGAAAGAAAGCTTGTGGACAAGATCGTCTCTGGCGTTGGAGCCCGTCCTTCGATCCAGCTTTCCCTGACCACCCCGGTCAAAATGGATAATCCGCATATCTGCGAGCAAGCCATCAAATCCATCATCAAAGCGCTAGAGGAGATATATGCCGAGTACCCGGACGAGCGACTGTGCAAACCTGTCATCACCGTCATCTCAACCACCGGCGTGGACGGTCCGGATGATGTGCCGTTTGGTTTCAAGTGGCTGTATTCCGTTCTCCTTGCAGTGCCACATGTAGATAAAAAGAAGCTGGAGGACTTGGTCAAGGCCGATGAGCTGAAGGATGAATCGTCCAGGGCTTTTGGTGGAGCAGTGATTGTTCGTCCGTCGTTGCTGGTCGGGGACCAGAGCATTGCTAGCATTGGGTCAAAGAAGCTCCGGGTGGGATCAGAGGAGAGTCCATCTATTGGGTATACAGTGCATCGTGCTCGTGTTGGGCAATGGATTTTCGAGGAAGTTGTCAACAAGACGGAGGTTGACTGGCTGGGAAAGGTTGTGACTTTGACTTATTGATGAGGATTCTGTATACTTTTTGTCTTGATCTGTTGTCTTATGATACTCCGTTTGTCCTGCGCGTTAGGTTATAGTCTGCGTCAATTATTGAGAAATTATGGTGATAATAACTAATATAAGCTCTGTCCGGCTGACAGGCAGCAATGAAGCATGCTATAATACATAGATTCAGAGACTAAAAAGGCTACAGCATGTCTCACCAGGTAAAACAGAATGATCGAGTATTATGCTGATTCCAAATAGCTTTTATTTAAGTTGAGTAGTGCATTCCAGTCAGACAGCCCCAAACCTCCCCGGGGGTAGTCCAGGAGTCAGCCGCATTTGGCTTTTGATCAATGCTCCAAGTTGGATGCGCAAAGTGAGTGGTCTAATATGCTCCACTCGTGAAATGGCTAATAGTTGCAGTTACAGTGATTATTCTACCTATCCTGGATCTGCTCAACCAGCACTGCAAGCAGAATTGGCTTGTTGTCAGAAAAATACCGCTGATTCGGTATGTATCCGGAATTATCGGTGGATAGCTGCTAACAGTTTTAGTCTTCATCTGGTATCACTGCCAGTCTGCCGTGCATTGCTTTGGGATCCGTTCCGTAAGACTATAATGACATATACACGAAGCTGACTATCATCTTTAATCATCGTTGATTCTATTACAATCTAAATGTGCTATTATATAGCAAATCTGAGACTCACGATATGTATATCCTCCCCTCGTAGGGCTGTAATGTACACAACGCTGAGGAGCCATAGTTGCTGACCAAAAGCTTCATCTCCACTGCCATGCCGGCCTGGGTGAGCGGCTGAGGCGAGGAGGTGAAGTTCAAGGCAACCAAGGCCCGCTTCTCCTCCCTCGACTTGACAAAGCAAAAGGTCTCGAGATTCTCAAAGTCCACGACCTCAAACACGCCGTGGATGAATAACTCACGGTACTCTTTGCGCAGCCGCAGCACCATCTTCCAGAACGAAAGCACACTTTGGGGATCCAACTCCTGCTTCTCCACGTTGATTTCTCTGTACAAATCGTGGGTGCGCATCCACGGTGTTCCCGTCGTGAATCCCGCATTGGGAGAATCATCCCATTGCATCGGCAGCCGGGCATGATCCCGCGCCAGAATTTGCAGTCCGTCCATGATGCGCTCTGGTCTGCTCGGATCGGTGCCATTTGCAGCCTGGCGCTCGGCCTCTCGATAGTATCCGAGCCCTTCAATGTCCTTATACTCATCGATCGACCACTCCCGCGGCGCATTGGCCATGCCGATTTCCTGCCCCTGATACAAGAACAACGTTCCGGTCATGGCCACCATCATCAACGCCAGCATCTTAGCGGAATGTTCTCGGAACTCAGGGGCATCGGATCCGAACCGTGACACCGACCGGCCGTTGTCGTGGTTCTCACAGAAAGCCGTCGTCCACCCGTCCGTTCCCTCAACGAAAGACTGCCACTTACCAACGATAGCCTTCATCTCGGTGAGCTTCCACGGCTGGAGAATGTACTTGTCTTCCAGGCTGCTGCCCATACCGATATGACCGATGTCCAGATGAAAGACCATGCTGAGCTGCTTCGCAGACGCACCGACGTACTTGAGCACATCTTCCGGGTCGGGCGTATTCGCCAGCTCGCCGACGGTCATCACGTCCCCATACGGCGCCAGCGCTTCATCGTACATTTCGCGCAGGAACTCGTGGATGCGTGGACCATTGCACCACATCTCCACCGCAGGCTGAATATAGCTTTTTGGGTCGGTGACAAGTGTCGACGCGGAAGCCATCCACCCCCTTGTCAAGCCAGAACCGAATCGCGCTGTTATAGATGACGTCTCGCGTGGCTCGGTTGTCCCAGTTCAGATCTGGCTGCTCCTTCGCGTACAGGTGTAGGTAATACTCCTGCGTCTGCCCGTCCCACGTCCACGTACTCCCGGCGAAATAGCCCCTGTAGTTTGTTGGCGGAAGGCGATTGCCCTGCTCGTCGTACCGAAGTGTTTTTGACCAGAGCCTTAGCTGCTCATGAAGTTTAGGGTTACAGTATGTGAAGAGTCATGGCAGACCCCGAAGCCCTCAAATAGGCTTTATGGTCCGAACTTGTTGTGGGAAAATGTGTGGCTTGACCTGGAAGAACGTCAGTTGTGCCATTTTGGTTATGGAGAAGAGAGTCCAAGTGCTTCGCCAGATACACGTGAAGGTGTCGAGAACAGCGGCGACAAGTCAGCAGAGGCAGTACACTCTTAGGATCAAACAGACACAGAATGATAGGACCTATTGTTGGCAACGTGCGCTCTTGCATTGATATTGGGCGGCCTAGGATGATAGTATAGTCTGCGACAGCTCCTATTCAATCCACTCTGTGCAAGCCCTAGCTTTCTGGAGACGGCGAGGGTGTTCTACAATTATAATAAGGGGATGATTTCTAAGCAATAAACCCATAAATGACAGCGATGATAGGGCTCATCAGTGTTCCCTGTGGACACGGTGAGTCTCCAATCTGAGTGGTTACTGATTGGAGCTGCTGACTTTGGCATGGACTGTGCTCATCCTCCCAGTTTGCTCATGGTACGAGTGATGGCCGAACCTGCCGGGGAAAATCGAGGGCTTATGAAATCATTCGAGACTTATCATTCCAAGGCAAATAAAGATAACTGCTTTCTAACATCCCGATATTCCAGTCTTTGCTTTCGCCTCTTGATTCTCTAGTCGTGCTCACAAGATCACTTTCCGCACTCCCTCAAAAAGGCGAGTAATAAACACTCAGGTAGGGCTTCGAATGGCGATACGAGAAGGAAACCCCTGAGTGTATGTAATTGGTTTTCGTAAAGTCAAGGCCGGGACTGTCAGCGATGTTAATTCTCCTCCAGCCCGTTGCCGCACCCACCACAGGGTCAACTTACTAGTATGAGGCCACTTTATCCTTGTACGTGCTGGCCAGATCCGTCCAACCCAGAACCTTGTAGAACGCCACGAGTGCGTCCATTACCGCCGCATCATTCATTCCAACGGTAAGGAGGTATATCTGGGGGTCCGGAAATTTTTTCTTGGGAGATAGGGTCCAGTTCGCCATCATGACGGGTCGGTAGTCCTCGGGAGGAGGTGTCCCAAAAGCAAAGTCCGGCCGGATGTTGCTCCGATACCCTTCAGGGATCTCGAGGAGATCCCACAGCTTCCTCAGAAGGGTCAGACCATCGGCACATTGAGGATCTTCCAGACGTTTCCCGCGAAGAGTCCACATGTCCGCTACCCGATCCCATGACACCACCTGGTCGGTGACGTAGAATTTCAGGCGACTGCGCTCGGGAGTGCACAGGTCGACCCCGAGAAGGAACGGGGCAATCGCGGGATCTGTTGGGTGTCCGTCGTCTTGCAGGCCGAGGGAGTTGCAGAGGTGATGCACGGGTTCCTTCAATCCCGAGAGAGCGAGCGTCTCGATGGAGTCGAGAATGAGCTTTCCTGGCGCGATTCCAGTCGCCAGCGACTTCATGCCTGGGAAGAAGTAGGCCTTGGCGCTGATGCCGCCGTTCTGGAATTCCACAGCCAGGGTTTGCTGGCCTCGCCCGGACTTGGGGAGGGGGGCTTTCTCCTTGAGCAGCCGGCTTTCTTCATCGGGAGTCACCAATAGTTCGTGTTGGAAGTGCCTGAACCGGGCTAGATCGATGGTGTTGTCTAGACACGCAAGGCGGGATAGGCATTCGTCTGGCGCTATCTTGTTGAAAGCATCGACGCCGGATTCTGCCAAGTGTGAGAGTGGTTCGAACCCAATCCGCACGATATTATGTAGGAGATTCCAGCTGAGCTCGAAAGGAACGCCATAGGTGGTCACATTGCTCCACCAAGGCAGAGGTGCCTGTCCAGCAACTGGGAAGGTGCCGAGGTATGGAACCAGAAGTTGCTGCACGAGATAGAGGCAAGGAAGCTGATCCTTCTGCGGATACTGAGCATCACGCAAAAGCTTGAGCAAATTGGGCCCAGTATATTCCCACCAACGTCGCTGGTCGTCGTTGGGAAACCACGAGTACTTGTTGAGGAGCTGGAATGCCTCTTCTTCAGGGCACAAAACCTCAGTTGCTATGGTCATTGTAGGACCGGGATGCGGATGCTAGAGTGAGATAAATGATCGAGAGTTGTAGAGAAGTGGACTGTCTAGGGGGTCACAACTTTCGCTGCTGGCTTCATCACGAGGAGTGGCTTTCAATTCTTTTAAGTACGGATTGCAAATCTGTCTGCAAATATGTACGGTCATGCGCCTTCGAATACCGTCACCAGAACACACGACGGTGTCGCCAAGCCGGTGGCAACAGTCTCTTGCGCAGCTAAGATCTTGAGTGGCATCAGCCAGCAGTGTTGCAGTGCTGCTACTGTGCAAGACTTGTTTGAGGCCCACTTATCCCATGCATGCATGGTAGACGATGCCCACATCCGAAAATCCTTTCTTCAAAGTCTTTGAATCACGTCTGGCCCAATGAGACCTTGAATTGATGCTTTTTATGCGTCCGGGAGAATCATCTCCGAAGACGCTATGCCACCGTGGGGAAATAATAACAAATAACTAGACTAGTCATTACTGAAAAAGCGGACAAGACCTGCACAGACCTGCCTCGTGAGGGGTTCCCAATATTTGTCATCGTCATGAAAAAGCAAAGGTGAATTCCAGGTCTGAAAACAAGACCCCCCCGGTGCAGACTGCGCTCAGGGAGTACAGTATGTAGCGCCTGTTACTTAATTAATCCTGGACCACTGGCCTCCGCCTGACCAACCCCTGGCTGGACTTGAGCGGTTATAAATCAATTGGCAGGCTCTCCGAGTGTCACACAAAAGCAATTCGACAATGGAAACCTTCGATGCGATTCAGCTGCCCTACCCCGGGGTAGTCGGCGCAAGCTTGCTCGTCATCCTGGGAATCATATTATTGTTTCCCTTGGACACAGGCAACTTCATAATCATCAACCAACACCCATGGGACTTTTTTCAGACAAAGGCCAAGCAAGAGTTTGAATATAATGCAACTGCTCTACTCAACGAGGGCCTCCAAACGGTGAGCTCGGAGATCCGGTGTGGGTTCCTGATCTTCGTCAACAGGGATTAACATGCTTTCTATAGGGCCGCTCGGCGTTCCGGCTGGTGACCAACATGGTCACCTATTTGATCCTGAAAGACCAGTATGCGGAGGAAATCAAGAATGATAGTCGGTTTGGCGCTCATGAAGCAGTCGATCCTGTATGTCGCCCTCTTCATCGAGCAGATTTCTCTCAGAACGATTTGGTTCTCATCCGTCTAGGTATTGCTTGTGGACCTGCCTGGCTTTGAGACCATGTTCCAAGGATCGCTGCATAATCAAGTGCCTCCCATGGCGGTTCGTGCGTTAAACAAGGAGCTTGGTGAGTTTCCTGTCTCTTCTCCTCTGGGAACTATTACTGAGCCCGGGATGCAGTAAACTTGACACCCTTCCTCTCCGAGGAAGCTATGAACTGTCTGCAAACCAGGTGGACGGACTCGGCTGGTACGTGCGTTCCCAGCAGGTCAGTTGGACAATAATCTGATAAAAGACAGAGTGGCATGACGTCTCAATCCCGGAAACAGTACTGGCCTTGATTGCCCAAATGACAACAAGAGCACTGCTGGGCCCTGAGCTCTGCCGCAACCCCGAATGGCTTGATATTGCGAAATCCTTCACAACGAATCGAGCTATTGCCGTCGCCGCCATCCAGTCCTGGCCACGTTTTCTTCAACCCGTGATTCATTGGTTCCTGTCCCCCTGTCGGGCTCTTCGCCGTCAAATCCAATGCGCCCGGAATATCCTCCTTCCGGTCCTCGAGCGTGAACGGCGCGCGTATCGCAGTGATCAGCCAACGAAGCGGGAATTCTCGAACTTGGCGTTCATCGACCGGTATGCCAAGGGAGCTCGCTATGATGCTACCATGGCGCAGCTGCGAATCATCGCCGTTGCTTTCCAGACTACGAGTGATTTGGTCGAAAAGGTGATAGCACGACTTTGCAAGCACCCAGAGCTCATTCAGCCCTTGCGCGAGGAGGTGGTTGCGGTATTTGGGAAAAATGGCTTGCACAGCCACTCATTACGCAAACTCACGTTAATGGAGAGTGTGATGAAGGAGACCCAGCGGCTTGAACCTGCTGTTATCAGTACGTCGCCTCCGAATATTGTCCCCTTCCTCCCTATGGGTCTCTTCACTCTCTTGCTAACCTGGCTTTCCGGCCTCAGTCGGCATGTTCCGCCTCGCCAAAGAAAGAGTGACCTTGAAGGATGGCACTGTCGTTCCCAAGGGTACCAATATCGCCTTTGCGAATGATCTCCGCTTCGACCCGGAAATGTACCCGGAGCCGGAAACCTTCGACGGCTACCGGTTTCAGCGGATGAGAGAGGATCCTGAGAAGATTGACCTTACGCCGTTCACCAAGACCAGGATGAGCCATCTCGCTTTTGGCCACGGCAAGCACGCATGCCCGGGCCGCTTTCTCGCCTGCGATGAAGCGAAACTGATTTTGTGTCATATTCTCCTCAATTACGAGATTCGGGCTGTGGAGGGATCTCCTCCGGAACTGCGTGCACGTGGGATGTTTGTTCAGCTGGATCCTGGGGCAATGATGTCGGTGAAAAGGCGGGAGAACGAAAGAACACTTCATGGATAGGGGATCATCTGGGATGGTGAAGGTGTATTCTGTCTACATTCTACGATTGACCACTCGCCTATTATGCCTTGATAGAAAGCACAGATGGAAATATGTTTTGGCTTCATCCTGCATGTAGGAGCTACTTCGATCTGTCCATCATCGTGTAATATACAGTACATAGATATTTTTACCTGAACGAGTATTTCGTGAGTTGCGTGTTCCTCCTTGCTGGTTGAATCTCTATGCCGCTGGACATCCCAGGTCATTGTTCGCAGGGACGTTGTATGCAATGGTTCACCGAGCCCGTGTGAATGTGATATCCGCTACACGTTGATCCCCTCCAAAACAGGATCACGCATCTGCCTATTCAGGAGGTTGCACTGCTTTCATAGCGAGCCAAAGTCCTGCAGCTGAGGTAGCAGCATCCCTTACAGATTATCTCGAGCTAGCCCGCAATCGGGACGTTCCGTCTGTGCATCACCAGGTCCCAATTTCTCAGCCAGCCTCTGCTCTCCACCTATGCTAACCCCTCACGTACATTCAGCAGATCATCTCGATGATGATCGTCCGATGCAACATCAAGCTCAACTAGTGCACAGGAGGGGCATTGACCGCCTCACAGAGGTGACAACGCCTGCATCGACATGCGAACCGCAGTGGGGAAGGAATCAAGGAACTGCACTGAGACATGCAGTTAATGTGGCTACCTTGGGAATTGCCTTTTCTGGCCTTCTCAGCTGAGTTAGAAGTGAAGAGATGGTATGTCAACTGCATGTAGCCGAGATGCAAGTTCCAATATGCTTTAGTTTTGCTTTTTTGACTGTACGGCTGCGTGGCCAGACGGTGGACATCTGGCGAGTCCGTACAGGAGTGAGCGCACCATGCAGAATGTCGGCGCCCATCACACTGTTTGCTTCCAAGCCTGGGAACCTCTGTCGTTCCTATGACTCCTCCGCACAGGAGTTATGCGTACAATCGAGTGCAGTAAATTTTTCATTCGAAGCAAACTACAAGATTCGGGGGCCATCTCGGTAGAGCGGGCTTCCAACCAGAAGTGCAGAAGACCTCGCTCTCGAGGTTAAAATAAACAAAGTCTCCTCCGGCTGCCGTCCATCCAAGGCCATTTTCCTATTACTCCGCATTTACTTTGATTACTCTGAACAAGAATTGATCATTGTTCTCCTCCACGATGACCGTCGACTCCAAGCCGCAACTCCAGCGCCTCGCCGGCGATGCCGACGTTGACCTGATGTGCAAGCTCCTCGAAGAGGACGGTGCCTTCATCCTGAAGGGCCTGCTTCCCCCCGACGTCGTCGAAAGCTTCAACCGCGAGCTGGACGTGCAAATGGCCATCCCCCCTCCCAAGGGAGAGCGGCTCCTCGCGGACAAATACCCCCCTCACTTCAAATACGTCCCGAACGTCCCCACCACCTGCCCGACATTCCGCAACAACATCCTCATCAACCCGGTCATCCACGCCATCTGTGAGGGCTACTTCCAGCGCACGGGCGATTACTGGCTCAGCGCGGCCTTTCTCCGCGAAATCGAATCGGGAATGCCCGCCCAGCCGTTCCACCGCGACGATGCCACCCACCCGCTGATGCACCACCAACCCTTGGAAGCACCGCCGATCTCCATCAGCGTCATCTTCCCCCTGACGGAGTTCACGGAGGAGAACGGCGCCACGGAGGTCATCCTCGGGAGTCATCGGTGGACGGAGGTCGGGACGCCGGGGCGCGATCAGGCGGTTCTGGCGACTATGGATCCGGGCGATGTTCTCATTGTGCGACAGCGTGTGGTTCATGCGGGGGGTGGGAACCGCACGACCACCGGCGATCCTCGACGGGTCGTTCTCGCGTACTTCAATAGCTGCCAGCTTACCCCGTTCGAGACCTACCGGACGATGCCGCGCGAGATGGTGGAGTCGATGACTGTTCTCGGCCAGAGGATGCTCGGCTGGAGGACTATGAAACCGTCCGATCCCAATATTGTGGGTATTAACATTATTGATGATAAGCGGCTCGAGAATGTGCTGCAGTTGAAGGCTACTGATTTGCCTGCTTAGGTAGAGTCGTGGACTCGTGGCTACTAGATAACTAGTCAGTTAGTTAACTATTGTAAACCAAGCTGAGTTTCTGTCAAGAACTGATGTCCATATTACTGCATGATTTACCACTAAGATAGGACTGTAGCAGGGACTTGAATTCCTCCAAAACTAGCAGACAAAATGGCTCGCTCTATTAAGCCTGCTTTCTGACCGCTATTTTGGATCATCCTAGAGCTTCCGGTTGACAGTTTCTAACCAAGCCACGCTATCGTAATATATTATAGGTATGTGATTATGTAGGTAGCTCGTAATAAGAGCTTTTTCTGAACCAATGCGAGCTGGGACCCTCGGTCTTACGGCCAGGTGGTATGTTACTAGTAGGTCGATGTGCTGGTGTTGGCGATCTGCGTGGTGGCTCCCAGTGATACCTAGAATGCACTTGATTTACTGATGAATCTTCTTCGGTAGATCGTCGATCCTCGAGTGAATTTCCGTTCCCTCTCATGCCAAAGGTGAGCCGGTTGTCACATAGTCTCTGCATCCAAGAGGATACACAACGCCCAGCCCGGTTTCAATCTGCCCGGCTATTGAAGCCACTTCATGCATGGACTATCGAATCCCCGTTTTTCCTTCTTTTTTTCGTTTCTTTTTCCTCCTCTTTTCTTTTCTTTTGCTATGGGGACCATCTGCGGCTGACTCTTGCAGGGCCAGCGTAGCATCAAGGCAGCCATGGTTACACTGCATTTGCTGCACTTAGTTCATGTTGAAGACTGATATTTGGGCGAAAGGTGGAGCTGAATCTGCCGGAGGGACTCTGGATGAGAAGGAGAAGGAGGCATACTCCCCGGCTCGGATGTGACGCCGCAGTGACAGCGAGAATATCTCGCCGACATTCTACGAAATAGAACAGAACGAACGGACGTTCGTAGGTTGTGTTCGATAGAGGAAGAAGAAGACAGCATCGTTCCCTAACGACATTGGCCAACCGAAGGGCAAATCTGGCAACCGGCTATGGAGCGACTCCCGCTATCCCCCGCTGTGCTCTTGCTCACCATCACCCTCCCCATTCTATACTTCTGGATTCTACACACACCACCAGCCAGGCACCATGGGAAGCAACTTCCCCTCCCCCCAGGGCCTCCAAAACTCCCCAAAATTGGCAACCTCCACCAGGTACCCCGCCAGATCCCATGGAAGAAGTACAAAGAATGGTCCGACACTTACGGCCCCATCATGTCCGTCCAACTAGCCAACACCACAGCCGTCGTCTTCTCCTCCTGGGACCTCATCAAAACCCACGTTGAACGCCGAAACACAATCTACAGCAGCCGACCCTCCGTGCCCTTCTTCCTCCACGCGACAGGTGGCCTGAACGCGGCTATTCTCCCCTACGGACCGGAATGGAAACTCCAGCGGGCCATCCGCAGCTCCGTCCTCAAACCCTCCATGACGAGCAAGTACCGGGACGTCCAGAACATGGAAACGACGCAGCTCCTGCACGAGCTGCTATCCACGAACGACTTCTCCGTTTGTCTGCGTCGGTGTATTGCCAGTATCTTTCTCACTGTGGCGTATGGGGAGCGATGTGTCGATCATGCCGGGTTGGAGGCGATTGACCGGCTCGAGGAGCTGAATCGCGCTATCGCACTGCACGCCGAGGCGCTTTTTTCTGGCGCTGCTGGCATTCTCGCCCAGTTGGTCCTCCCTAAAGCACTGGTTGATCGGCTGCCGGTCCGGTGGAAGAAGGACGCTGATATCCTGCACGATCGGCTGACTGCTGACCTGGTAGCACGGACGAGGGCTGCGCTGCTCCGACCGGGCTGGAACTGGGTCAAGGCATTCGCCACGAAGGAGGGGACTGGGAGCGGGGAAGGTGACGGGGAGCAGGGAAGGGAGGCTGGGTTGAAGCGTCTCGCGTATATGGTCGGGTCGCTGTACGAGGCCTCCATGGCTGCGTCACAGGCACTCCGAGTCATCATCCTCGCCGGTATCTTATACCCGGATGCCACACGGCGAATGCACGACGAGCTAGACGCGGTGGTCGGAAAGGACCGCCTTCCCGACTTCAACGACGCAGCCCAATTGCCCTATACACTAGCCTTCATCAAAGAAGCCATGCGCTGGCGCTCCCTAACACCCATGGGATCACCCCGTGCCACATCCGACGAAGACGAATGCAGATGCTACCACATCCCTCGTGGAGCTACTGTCCTGGTCAACGTGTGGGCGATAAACCACGACGAGGCGGTGTTTCTCGACCCCTTCACGTTCAAGCCGGAGAGATGGATCGAGAACCCGGACTTACCGCAGATGCTGTATGGGATGGGCCAGCGCGCGTGTCCGGGGCGCCACATGGGGCAGGACTCGTTGTTCCTGGCCACTGCTCGTTTGTTTTGGGCGTTCGATATGGCCCTGCCGGATGGTGCGGAGGCGATTGACCAGGAGCGGTTCTTGGATAGTGGGACGACCCTCGCGGCGTTCGTACCGGATTTTGAGGTGAAATTTACGCCGAGGTCGGGGAAGCATCGGCAGGTCATTGAGAATAGCGTGGTTGTGTCATCGGATGTCTTGTCAGTTGCCGTGGCTACATAGATTGGTAGTTTACGCGTCGCAGGGTACATATATGGCTGCGGAGTCTTGAAAGATACATGATAGAGTACAAGTGGTAGGGATCCAATGTACTGTTCATCCCTGTCGAGTTACTAAGCCCTCGCGTACAAACCACCGATATTCATCGTAAAAGAGACGGAAAGGTAGGAAAGAAAACATAGGTGCTTCAATTGGCAGGCGCCAGGTCCCCGACAGGATTGAAACTGTGGTTGTAGAGCGTCACGTAGGCACCGCCGTCCTTGTAGGCAAAGGAGACATATGCGCAAAGGTGCGCGGCCTTCTCGAGCTCCTCACCGGGGCTGTCAGAGCATCACATTAGTGAGGCTACTACTAAAACAGTGAAGGGGTGGGGGTGAACTCACTAATTCGCTAGAAAATTCCCCTGGTAGTGACGGGCCATATCCTCCCAGCCAAGCCTCCGGTAGAAGGTAGTTAGCCCCTCAACAAGCTTCCGCGAGTTCATCCCAAACACACAGACATACATCTGGGGATCAGGAAATGGCGACCGACTGCCGTCCAGATGGAAGTGGAACATCATGGGCGCCTCGAATCCGGCCGACGACTTTCCAAGCTCGCAGAAGCCCCGCGGCATGGTATAGTAACCCTCGCGCATCTGGATATCAGCCCAGAAGTGCCTGAGCAGTTCCAGACCCGTGAGTGCATCCGGATCTCTTCGAAGGCCCCCAAAGGTCCAGATATCCTCCACCATCTTCAGATCTACATGCCGCTCGCTAGCATAGAACTTCACCCGCGATTTGCCGGGTTCGACCAGGTCGGTGGACAGAAAATGAGGGAAGAACGAACACGCGTCGAACGTCTTGTCTGCTTCGGTGGGCGGGGGCTTGTCTGCCGTGACGACTGGGACATGTAGGCCCTGGCGACGCCGCTCCATGTACCGTTCCAGATTGGCCAGCTGCGTCTCGAAGCGCGACTCCCGATCTACCTTGCGGATGGCGTTGACGAGAAGCTCCTCCGTCGAGCGGCCAGTCACTGCAGATTTGGGCTGCGGGTAGAAATACGCCTTGAGCAGGACTGTCCCGGATTTCTGCAGGTCCATGGCGGTGAGGATCTGCGATTTCCAGGGGCTCTTGAACAGGTCCGGGTTGGCTTGGAGGACGGCCTCCTCTGCCTTGGTGATCACCAGCTCGGTCTCGAACTCGTAGAAGCGTGTCAGGTCAACCCCCGGCAGGAGCCGGGCGGCGGTCTCCAGATAGCCCTTCGGACGGGTGGTGTTGAACGGATCTTGTGCGGTGCCAGAGTCAGCCGTGACGGGATCGACCCCAATGCGAATCAATGCCCGGGCGACGTTGTTGCTGAACTCGATGGGCAACCCGGTAAGAACCATTCCACTGCGCCATTGGGTCGCAATGATCCCCGTTTCTGGGTCACGCTGTGGGTAGAGGCCCAGGGCCGGGAGGACCAGGTGTCGATACAGCGACAGGTATTTGTATTGCACGTCAACATCGTAGTTGGAGGATATGAGGAGCCTTGAGAGGATGGGCGCGGTGCTATGCCACCAGCGCTCCTCGTCGAGACTTCCAAAGAGTATAGTTTCACTGAGGGCCAGGTAGGGCGCGGGCTGCGCGTGGCAGGGCTTCTGGTCCGGTGGTGCTGGAGGCATCTTTGCGTGCTGGGGAACCAATAATCCTGACTCAGAATTTTAGAGGGAATTCTGGCTTTGGGTGGAATACTTCCTAGGAGACGGAATTCTATTCAACCCCGAGGGCATGCGGGTAGACACCAGAGAAGGCGATCCCAAAGCGCATGTAAGACACAAGCGTGCTCTCTATGGTAGTCTTATTTTCATGCAAATGCACACCTCAGTATACTAGTCATAAATATACATATAGTCTTATTTTCATGCCAATGCACACCTTAGTATACTAGTCACAAACATGCATATAGTCTTATTTTCATGTAAATGCACGCCTGGGCATACTAGTCACAAACATGCATCTGCCGCTCCACCACCAGCAGTCGGCGCTACCTTCTCCCAAACAGCCGAGCCGAATCCCAGGCATTGAGAAGGCCCGCGTGATCCGGAATACGGTGATGGGACAGCAAAGGGTACCTCAATCGAACCGCAACAATGTATGTCGGCTGATTGACGCAACCATTTGCAGGCTACTTGGCCGGGTAGTGACAGAGCTATACCTTCACAGACTTCATGTACATGGCAATCCAAATTAGAGCGTGTGTTCTGTAGTTCGTCATGCTGTCGGTTTAATTAATGGAGTGTACACTGCCTTGCTGTAAGCATATCGCTTCATACCTCGTTAGAAGGGGGGTGTTACTTTTAAAGAAAAGGTGCAGGGGCACTGGAATTCCTAGTTCTGCTCTAATAGACAATCCTGACTACCAAAACCAATGCAGTACCGTGGTTACTCGCAGATCCAACTCAACATACTAGCATGGCTCCCAGGCGGAGTATACAATTTCTCAAACCGTAGCCGACTGTCACAATCTTCCACCAGGCGGCGCATCTGAACCAGACTTCTCTCCTTAGCGGAGAAGAGCGTGTACATCCCGATATCACTCCGACGCAACTGCCGCTCACTCTGCAGAGAGCCTTCGCCCGGCTCCGGCAAGACGGCGTCCATAATGAGCAGCCGGGCACCGGGCCGTAGAGCGGAGGAGATCTGCCGGACGATGCGAGTGCAATCCGCATCGTTCCAGTCGTGGAGAATGAGACGAAGCAAGTAAGCATCTGCGATGCGTGGCTGGGGCGTGAAAAAGTCGTGCTCCTCGAAGGTGATGTTTCGGTGCTGATCTACCCGTTGGCGAGCCTTCTCGATGATTTCGGGCCGGTCTTGGACGGTGATTTGGATGTGAGGAAAGGCGTTTGCAATGACTGCGGCAACGTGACCTTCCGATCCTCCGATCTAAAAGACATGTGAGTAAATGAGTGGAACGGTTGTTGGTGTACTTCTCGCTTGACGAGAGTAGCGATCCCAAATAGCAACTTACGTCGACCAACGATTGCAACGCGTCCCAGTCATAGGCATCCGCAACGTGGCGTACCATCGAGTCATTATGAACAGCCATCCCATCATGCCATCGATTTCGATTCACCGGGTCTTTCTCCAAGACCTCGAAGAACGTCGGGCCCCCGCGAGCCCCAGGCTCCCTGGCCATCAGGGCCAATGGACCCAGGCGCGGCACTTCGCCGCTCGGGTCCAGTTTGATGGACTCGTATAGGAACGAGCAGGGCCGAATGCCAAAGTCCGCCATGAAGCGAGCCTGACCGGCACTGTCTGGGTCACTCACGAAGATGGCGGACATGGGGCTGTGTTTCACGGCACCCTCTTCATCTTCATCGAGGAACCCAGCTAATCGGGTGAAGCGAATCAGACGCTGGAGCAATTCCGGCGCCACGGGCGTTTTCAGTTTCTTGACCAGTGCATCGCATGTAATGGATCCGCTGGATGGAACCTGATCTGGGACTCCAAGCCGGATCAAAGTCTGGATTGTGCCGACGTCGACTGCCTGTGCCATTCATGGGAATGTTAGTCACGTCACAGGAAGAAACAGGCAGGGACAAGGGGGAATTACCGATTCCAGCAGACTCAGCAATGACAGACCAGGGCCCCGACCTTGCTGGAGAAGCTTTTCAGCGGCGAGGATGATCTCGTCTCGGGCTGCGAGCCCTTTGGGGCCAAGCAGAGTCGGGTCCCCACAGTTTGGTTGGGACCCCGTCTTGTCAATCTCATCCACCAAAAGCTCAACATTTTTGCTCAGCCTGGTAGCAACCTCGGGAAGAGTGAACATTGTACAGAAAACGGAGAGGGGGGTGCGGTTCAGCGATGCAGCGTACTACTCAGCAGGGTCGGCAGGTAGTCGAGCCAGCTTTGGTTGTCGATGATAGATAAACATATAGCTGCAATCCCGAGATAGGTCGATGTGACTGGGCAACAACGCACATAGTCACACCGCTGCTGTCCGGGCGATCCGGCAGCACAGTCGGACAGCCAGCATGAGGTGAGACACATCAACTCTGCTAGCTCATATGCTGTGTAACCCCAGGTAATTTAGTTCGAAGATGGTGCAGATCGGCCAACCGATCGACGGATCTTGTTTCTTGGCTCTACTAGTAGTCCCTATGCGGACGATGCTGATTCAGATGCTCGGCGCGTTGTGTCTTTTAACGATGAGCCGTTCTCAAGTGAGCCCCTCTCAGCGATCTGACCCCAGAGTCACTCTAGTATTCGCCCCAGGATGCTGTCCGTCATGAAGTGCGGGTATCTGGCGACGGCTGGCCTAATTGGCATTTGCACCCATCTCTCGTATTTCCGACATGGAGAACACCATCTGTATCCCTGGCGGTATGTACGATTTCACCTCTGCCTGGCCCTGGGCGTGTCAGCCCTGCTATATGCCAAAAAGCCACCGCAATACACCCTCTCTCCAGAGGACCTCGTCAAAGAGACCTGTCTGCTTATGGTGACATACCTCGTTGGACTGTTCACGTCGCTCCTCCTCTACCGAACACTATTCCACCCCCTCCGCCAGATTCGTGGCCCCTGGGCAGCCAAGATATCTTCATTCTGGTTATCGTTCCGTCTAAGACGTGGGCCGTCATTCCGCATCCTTCATGAATTGCACGAGGAATACGGCCCCGTCGTGAGGGTTGGCCCCTCTGAAGTGTCTATCATCCACCCGGAAGCCGTCGGGATTATCTACGGACCCAACTCACGCTGTTCAAAGAACGCCTTCTACGACAACGGCCATCCGATGATGTCGCTACATTCGTACCGAGACCGAACGGCCCACGACCAACGCCGCCGGGTCTGGAGCGCGGGGTTCGGGGACCGGGCTCTGCGCGGCTATGAGCAGCGCATCCGGGTCTATCGTCAGAAGCTCTTTCAGCGGTTGGAGGAGAGGGTTGGTGCGGAATCGACAATCAATATCAGCCAGTGGTTCAATTTTTACAGCTATGATACCATGGGCGACCTGGCCTTTGCGCGCAGCTTTGATATGCTGGACGCAAGCCGGAACCATTGGGCGGTAGACATGCTCATGCATGGGATGACCGGGTATCGGTATTTGTTTCCGAGTTGGTTCTTTCGACTGCTCGCTACCATGCCATCGTTGTCGAATGACTGGCATAAGTTCATCGGGTTTGCGACAGATACCCTGCTACGTCGCTTGGGGGTGGGTCGCCTTCTCCCCGATCCATCCGTCTGCCGTTTCTTGAACTGAACGTTGGCTGCGCAGGAGCAAGTGGGTGTTCCGGATATCTTCGCGTCCTTGCTTGCGCCGCTAAATGGCCGGGACCCTACCGATGACGAGCGCAACATGCTCATGGGAGATGCTATGCTCATCATCACAGCAGGAAGGTTAGTTTCTGCCCAGGCCAGAAACATCGGGATACAAGTTGACTGACCATCGATTTACAATGGATCTCGACGTCAATAGTGATACCACGGCAACAAGCTTGACGAGCATCGTGTACGAATTAGCCCGCCGTCCTGATGAGGTCGACAAACTACGAGCTGAGATGGAGCCTATCGAAGCTGATAGTGACGGTGAGTACCAGCACGACAACCTCGCCAAACTACCGCATCTCAATGGCTTTATCAACGAGGCATTCCGGTTGCACTCTCCCATCCCTGGTGTCATTCCGCGAAAGACCCCGCCAGAGGGGATCCATGTGAAGGATATCTGCATTCCAGGGAATATGACGGTGTTCAGTCCGCAATGGAGTATGGGTCGATGTACGAGAACCGTTCTACATTCGTTGAACTTGTGACATTTGACATCTGACTCCTCACTTCCCCTACCTTAGCCGAAGCTGCGTACGTTGATCCTGCGATCTTCAACCCAGAACGGTGGTACAAGCACATAGACTTGTTAAAAGAAAAGTCGGTCTTCGCCCCGTTCTCCATTGGTACGTACATCCGCTTAATTCTTGCAGGGTCAATACAATTGCCACTAACTATATCTCTCAAATCGCTAGGACCTTATTCATGTATTGGAAAGCCACTCGCCATGATGAATATCCGCACAACCGTGGCGCGTCTGATCATGACGTTCGACGTAAGGTTTCCAGCGGGTGAGGATGGGACCCGGTGGATGGACGCTGCGGATGAGCACTTTGCCATGGGTATACATCAGATGCCCGTCGTTTTAACCAGACGCCATTAGCTCTGTAATTCTCAGGCCTCACCAGTGACTTCGTTCATGGCCAATGCGCAACATAGGCTGTCTTATGGAGTCCAGCCCCCAGATCTTCAAGCCTGATGAGTTCTACGAACGGCAGTATCCTGTTTTCCACGCTGTAGGCCAAAGACTCTGTCGTAAGGGTACTGAACAAGATCTAGACAGGCCTTCCTGCAACCTAGGATCTAAATAGTCTCCTTCAACAGACCGTATTCTCATTTCCTTCCAGCCTGCATGGGATAACTCTAATCTGATCCGTACGCAAATCGGGCTACGAATTACAAAAAAACCGGAACACTCACCGGCCCCTTCATTTTGTTTGCTGCACAGGTCCAGTCCTACTCCTCACTCCTCTGTAGCCTGCAGTTTCGGCTGCCGGACAAATGCAAGGCCAGCTAGCCGATTACACAGTGCCACTGTCAGTGTGACAAATAGCTCGTGTGATTGACGGTACAAGATCTCCGGACATACCCGGTGTGCAGCTGCGAACCTTGCATCGAGACCATTTTTCATACATTGCCTATGCACGCAGATCATGCCGTCTTCTTGGGTGGCGGCGTGTAGATCGGTTCTTCAGCCGCACATGATGCTGTGTCCCTGACTACCTGTGCTACGCCCCTTGCCTCGATAGTGAATAGTAATCCGTGCCTCTCGCCTCATGGGTGGGATTACGAATGACGAATCTCGATTGAGGAGTTTTCCTCCGCATGGCCTTTCATGATATCCGATGCTGTACAGCAGGTTTGCTCTAAGCAAGGGGGGGAGCTCAGCTGTATGTATGCCTTGTCGCGCAAGGAATAAAGTCGCGGAAGCCACGTACGTATTCCCTTCCATACTCGCTGCACTGCAGGTGAATTGGAGTTTTGCCGCGGTACTATTGATTATAAGCCATGCACAATACTGGGGCTGTTGTAGGCCAGTCGGCTGTCTTCAGTGGGTATGATCTTCATAGTTATGTGGAGACCAAGCTTCTTCATGATTGAGCAGGAAAGAAACCCCCTACCCTTCCGTACTGCGGTGATGTGCCCTGTATTGCAGCATGTAATTCTATCATAGCGATCTGCTGGAGGAATGATGGCGATTGGCTCGGGCCGTCCGTCGGGTGGCGTAGAAATGGCTGGCTGGACTTCTTGCTGATCTCTCGTCATGATGTTTGCCTGTTTTTCCTGATCGACGAAGGTACAGTGCATAGTCTTCTCTCACCATGGCAGAGCACAAAAGCAAGGATGGGGTGCTGCGATGTGTGGCTTGCCTCAATATTCATCTAGTGTGAATACTCTGCAGCATGAGGCTTCAATAGTATGATCTACACCCCCTGGACACGAAATTCTAGATGTCCGATATGTACACATCTTGCCATATACTATGGGAGGGGGATTCTGCCACACATGCTACTACCTACCAAACCACGAACGGAAGGTCAGTCATTTTCATTATCACGCAAGCCACAGAATATTCAGACATGTAGAATCTGGTGTCCAGGGAGTGTAGTTGGCCAGTACCCGCATTTCCGTCTCTCAGCGTAGCTTTCTTTTCCGGAGATCCACGGCTACGGCCCCAGAGGGTGCACCGTGTATATCTAGAGATTGCTTCTCCGAAAGAAGGTCTATCCTATATTCCAACAATATCCTCTGAAAAAGCCTCTGTCAATCGATAATATGCCCTTCATTGAAGCACTACGTACGAATATACAAATATATTATTCTTACCTCAATCGGACCTTGCGCTGGTTGGGGATCGACTTTTTCGCCTTTTGTAATAGGGCGATGGCACCTTCCGAATGGAGAGATATTCTTCCATACAACGCATCCAAAGACAGTCCGACGGTGCACAGCATAGAAGTAACAACAGACGGCAAAAACGAACGGGGTCAATTTGGATTCTGGGACACTTGCGTACACCAAGTCATTCGCGAGCATTGCCAGAGATCTCCAGACTCACCCGCAGTCGATGCATGGGACGGGTCATTCACATATGCCGAGCTCGACAGCCTGTCAGACGGCATTGCGTCAGTCTTAATCCTCCTTGGAGTCAAGCCAGAGAGCATTATACCCATATACATGCAGAAGTCCCGATGGACAACGGTTGCTATATTGGGAGTACTCAAGAGCGGAGGAGCTTTCACCCTTCTGGATCCATCCTATCCGCGGAGCAGGCTGGACGAGATATGTAAGGAAATCCAGGCAAGGTTTATCCTTACGAGTGAGGAACTCAGCAAACAGTGTTTAGAGGTGTCTCCTGCCCTAGTCGTGGAGCATCTAAGCCGGGCATGCCTGCTGAGTCCCGGCCAAGCTGGGCAAACACCATCTCGACCTGAAAACGCCGCTTATATCGCGTTCACATCAGGTTCGACAGGAAAGCCCAAGGGCATTGTCATCGAGCATCGGTCATATTGCTCTGGAGCTCGTTCGCACCTGAAGGTGTTTGGTATCGATTCGACGTCGCGCGTTCTCCAATTTGCCTCGTATGCCTTCGATGTCAGCATCATGGAGACGCTCAGTACTCTGATGGCGGGAGGCTGTTTATGCGTAATGAGCGAGTCTGAACGAAGTGATCCAAACTTCTTCGTCGAGTCTTATAAGAGCTTCCGGATCTCCCACTGTTTTATGACACCATCCTTTGCGAGGACGGTGCAATGGACAGAATGTTGCAGCCCGCCACCCACCCTGATCGTGGGAGGCGAGTTGATGCGCCCCTCCGATGTGACAGCATACGAAGCAATGGGAATTTGCTGCATGAACGCATACGGGCCTGCCGAATGTTCCGTCAACGTGTCTGTACAGTCTAGGGTGGAAGATGGTGTTGATCCTCGAAACATCGGATACACCACAGGGGCGACAACCTGGATTATTAGCCCGGAGGATCCAGAGCAGCTGATGCCACCCGGTACGGTGGGGGAACTGCTCGTGGAAGGGCCGATTGTTGGTCGTGGCTACCTCAATGATCCCAGCGCCACTCGCCAGGCGTTTATTGATACACCCGCATGGCTGCGCCGGCACCGCAAGGGCACCTCTTATCAGCACCGAGTCTACCGCACCGGGGATTTGGCCTCCCAGGACAGCATAAGCGGTGCGCTGCTACTGCACGGCCGCAAAGATGCCCAAGTGAAGATTCGCGGCCAGCGGGTCGAGCTCCCTGATATCGAACACCATCTCCAACAGACCTTCCCGAACGGCGATGCCGAGGTCATTGTCGAAAAGGTCACCCTTTCCGACGATGGAGTTGAAAAGCTCATTGCCTTTGTCTTAATCCGTCCGTTTAGCACTGGTTTCATCTCGGACAACATGGGAGATCGTCTCTTCCTGGCGCCGCAATCACAGATCATGGAGCAATTCGCCATCAGCAAGCAGCATCTACAAACAAATCTACCCAGCTACATGGTTCCAGATATATTCATTCCTATTTCCACTATCCCTCAAACTGCATCGGGGAAAACAGACCGCAGAGCCTTGCGGACCCGAGCTGCTGCCTTCTCGAGACGGGACATTCAATGTTTTCTGCTCTCGCCCACGGGTGATAAACGTCCTCCATCCACACCCAAAGAATCAACCATCCGAAGGCTGTATAGCAATGTGCTGAATCTACCTATCGACTTGATAGGCATGGACGACACTTTCCTGCGCCTCGGGGGGGATTCACTTCAAGCCATTCGTCTCGTTGCAGCGGCCAGGACGGCCGGGCTTATACTACACACCAAAGATATCCTTTCGTCGCAGAGTACGCTGGCTGAGCAATCACAACGTGCAGGTTTGATCCAGGCATCAGACCATACGGGGGAAGCTTCAACTCCGTTTGCCCTCTTGCCTGTGGCAAAGAAGCATGATATTGTCGACCTGGCGCAGGAGCAGTGCCGCGTGTCTTCGAAGCTCATTGAAGATATCTACCCCTGTACCGCACTGCAGGAAGGCATGTTCCTAACGTCTTTAAAACACCCAGGCATGTATACCGGGCAGATAACGTTTGATATTCCCGACAGGATGGAATTACCCCGTTTGAGGGCTGCATGGCTGTCGGTGATGTCCGAGAATGCTGCTCTGCGAACACGCATCATCGAGACCCACGATGGACTCATGCAAGCGGTGATCGTCGATGACTTCGTGTGGGAGGAAGAAACCAACGAGATGCCGCCTTCTGGCCGCTGGGAGGCACTCGAGATCACCAAGATCGGTGTGCCTTTGGTCCGGTTTCGCTATCGCCCTCGACATCGGCAGCTGATTATGACAATCCACCACTCTATCTGGGATGGCTGGTCGCTCCGTTTGGTGCATGAGCAACTACAGCGTGCCTACATCGGGCGCGATCCGTTGCCGAGCACCTCATACCGCTCCTTCATCCAATACACACAGGACCTACCAGGGGCAGACGAGTTCTGGGCCTCCGAGCTCGCCGGTGTGAATGCACCGATATTCCCGACCTTGCCGTCCGGCAACTATCGGCCGTACGTAAACGCATCGCATCGACATGGGGTGAGAAACTTGGTCTTAACCGGAAGGGAGGAACATACCACCGCTACCTATATTCACCTTGCCTGGTCGTTACTCATTGCCCACTATACGGACGCGGACGAGACCGTATACGGGGTGACGACCAACGGGCGCAGTGCCGACGTACCGGGGATCGAGAATATCGTGGGTCCAACAATTGCAACCGTCCCGCTGCGCATTCGAGTCAATCAGGAAGATACCGTGAAGATGGCGCTGGATCAGGTCCAGGACTCTCTCGCACGCATGATTCCCTACGAACAGGCTGGCTTGCACCGCATCAGCCGGTGTAGCAGAGATGCCTCCGAAGGTTGTCGCTTCCAGACCTTGCTTATCATTGAAGCTCCCGCGGATCGCGGCGTGGCTTGCGAGAAGAACGAAGCTGGAAACTTCTCCATTATCCGGGGAACGACTCAGACTGAGATGGACTACACCGCGTTCTCTTCTTACGCTATGATGCTAATCTTTCGTACTAGCGCCGACAAGAGGGCGATTACGTTCGAT